ACTCACCATGCCTCTTACTAAATACCTTGAGCTATTTTCCAAAAATGGGTGATTTGAGGGGTATTTGTACTATCCTGGCGTTTTTGGGCCTAAAGAAATGAGATGGGCCGTCAGTACATCAGGACTGATCAGTTGTCAGAGATATATATATATATATATACCACGGTGTGTGAACTTTCCTGCAAACTAAATAATATACACTAATTTTGGGGTATTTTCACAAAAGAAATGTATCAGAATACATTTTGACCTAAGTTTATGAAGAAATGTTATTTATTTGCAAAATTTTATAGCAGAAACAAAGAAAAATGTGTTTGTTTTTTTTTTTTTTGTTATTTAACAAAAAATAAACTCCTGTGATTAAATACCACCAAAAGAAAGCTCTATTTGTGTGAAAATAAATGCTAGAAAGTTCATATGTGTTCATTGTTGCATGGCACGCAATTGTCATTCAAAGTGCGACAACATTGAGGGTTAAAGTGTCACTAAACCCACAACAGTAAAATCAGTCTGTATAGCATTATAACAAGCATGCAGTAAAGCATGCTTGTTATACTCACTGTGGAACATATTGGGTTAATCTTCTTCTGCATTGTGTAAAAAGGCTGTTTGGTCATGTGTTCTCTGATCCTCCCCTTCTTCCAGTGCCCCCCCTCTTATCTCCTGATAAGGCATATTGTGTGGAGTCACTCTACACATGCTCAGTTTGGTGTGTATTGTTGGAGAGAGGTTTTTTTTTTTTTTTTTTTTTTTTTTTCTTGGGAGATTGCATACGATCAACACAATCAGCACTGTCTAGACAGGAGTCAGGGGTTCTGCACCCTCTTAGAGCAAAATGAAAACTCCTCCTACAGGCTCTAACTAGTGCTCTGCTGGACAATGATAGAAGTCACAAGACTGCTCTAACTGCTGATGAGAAAAGATATTTAGCAGTTTATATTTACTAAACTAATTGTATTTGCATGTTGTGTGCACTGTGGGAGACCAGATATAGTGAATGCAGGGTCCTGGTTTAGTAACATATTTAAAGCTAGGTAGCTTGCTTTATCAAAAGAAGGTCTGCAATTTTTAGCCCCCCCCCCCCCTTCTTCTTTTTTTTTTTTTTTATATACAGATTGTACAGTTTTTCTACATAATAGACTGGAGAATGTTTGCTTATAAAACTAATGTCACTAAAATCACACCCCTTAGGTTGCATTTACACTCAAACGACATTCAAACATGTGTCATGCTTGCATTGTCCTTCATGATAGTGGCACACCAAATGTCTCAAATCGATGCGTGTGCAAATATGCAGCAAAATGTGCTGTTAAAAAACAGGCAAAGCTACTTTTTCGCATCATAGTGTGAATAGGGCCTCAGAAAAATGTGCAATTGCTTACTTTTATGCTTAGTCCAGGGGAAAACCATGCCCAGCTTTTAAAATGCTGTAGTTTGAATCTCTATTCTTCTCTCTGCAGAGCTTCCGGGATCGATCATCGCTCTGATCTGTCCTGGATGCCCTGCAGATAGAAGAAGCTAAATTGAAAAAATTTCATATCCCTAGACCACTACATAGACTAAGCACTGACCTGTCATCACCATGGAAGTAAGTAGAGCAGGGACCAGGGGAGTGGGGAGGGATACATGGTGTTCACCTTTTAATTTTTTTCTGAAAAGGTTGGTGTTCATGCTTGTTCTAGTTTGTTCAGAAGCTAGCTAACACTCCAATATGTATTTTTCCATACCATCATGGAGATAAGTACATTCTTGTCAGGTATGTGAATTCTTTATGTGAATCCAGAACCCTCCAGGTGAAAAGCAAGAGTTATATCCACTTAGACACCCTGCTGCCCATTTCCTAAGCCTAAAGCCCTTTGCAAGGTTAGGTTTACTTTAATGACCCGGAAATAGTATCATCCAGTGAGCTGGAAGCGATCTGCTTCCACTGAATGATTTTTAGTTGTTTTGCTTTGACAGGTTGTCAGGTTTCCATAAACCAAAATTCTTTTTGCTTGTTAGCAACCAAAGCCACTAGGTGGCAGCAACAGACTATATTTATCATGTGGTTTTTAAAGTGCTTTGGTCACATTGTTTGTGCCTATCAAGCACACAAAGCCTTGCGTATTCCTGCATTTTCTTTGTACAAACGTCTTCAGTTAACAGATTAAATGAATTATGATGACAAATAAATTGATTGGAAATCTTAATTATATCATTCTATCATGTGAATTATGATTTTCTGTTAAAGCAGATCATAGATTCCTAAATTGCTATTTATATCACTGTATATAATCAAAGGGGTTAAAATTGCTCCCTCTACCATCTATGGCACCAAAACTAGTATTTATTAAAACTAGATCACTGATCCTTATCTTCTTGGGTCCCCTGCCGGCACTCCTGGCACCTTCCCCCTGTTGAGTGCCCCCAGAGCAAGCTGTTGTCTCTGGGAGCACTCGTGCGTGCTCACTCCTGAGCCACCTCTGTGTGTCTTTGGGACAATTGGAGCATGGCTGAGCCCCGTCCCCACTCCCTCCTCACTGACTGTGATTGACAGCAGCGGCAGCCAATGGCTTGGGTGAGAATAAGGGGGAACTGAACACCAAATGCATGAAGGAAAAAAAAAACCTTCAGCCTTTACAATTTCAACTTTAACATTAAAAATAAGTACCTATACAGTTTAAAATTCAGTAATACTGTCTCTCCCTGGTCTGAATATGCTCAGTTGCTCTCAATTGTTATGCACTGTGCGGAAAATGTAGAGGCCGATCTGCTGACAGACTAATAATTTACTGCTGCTCAGGGGTTCTGGTCTGCGGAACAATGGCAGCCTCCTGCAAGAAGAACCAGGAACAATGCTGGAAGCAATTTACAGCACACACTGATTTGGGTAGCATAATTATTAATGTACAATGTATATTCCTTGCTAAAGAACATTATTTTTTATCAAGTTATTGGTAAAGATCCACTTTAAGGATGCCAGAAGCAAAAATACTTCTCACATCCTTTTAGTAGCCATTAGAACACTATTCTTTTGAACAGAGCTCTTGACCATTAAGTAGGACCCAGCATGGGTATCCTCAACAGTATTTTCTGGGCATCATTATCCTAATACCTGCATCTGTGTTGGAGAAATTGTGCATGGAAAGGCAAGGGGCAGCAACTGAATCATCACCTGTTTGGTTACTGCCCCCTGCCTTACCACTCCCTATTTATCAAACATAGACAAAGGTGCCAGAAAATGAATCTCCGGGGCCTATTGTTGTGAATACCCATGTTGGGTCCTACCAAATGACCAGGAGCTAAATAGTGGCTAGTGGGGTAGAAAATAGATGATGCTCAGCTGTGACAGAGTTTAAAAAAAAAAAAAAAAAAAAAAAAACTGTGGCTATTCCTCCTCCCCATTTTACAGATATACCAAATACCACACACATATTCAATGCAACAATGTATGCTGTAAATTCATTAACATTTTTAGTAATTTGAAAGAAAAAGTTGCTGGATTACCAAGCTGACCCATGTTTGAGTTGGTGATCTGTAACAAGTATGCAGATACCGATTTCTGACATTGCTGAAACTTGCGGGTCAGCATAACAGCCAGACAAGATTTTTTTCAGAAGGGGTTCTTGGCTGCCTCATTTTTCTAAATTTTTTTGAACGGGGCCAGGCACACTTATGATCACATTCTCATTCACTTTTTGGTGTGCCAACACCAATTCAGTGGACCGTAAACGTTTTCATGGGCCTAAAAAATGTACCTGCCGCCTCCCTTTTTTTTTCTTTTTTTTTTTTTTTCTCCGCACACAATAAAACAATGAATGTGATTTTTTAAAAATGTCTTAAGGGGTATATTTTTATTTTTATTTTATTTTTATTCAAGTATGCATGATGAGGTGGCTTTAACAAATGTCAATGCACCACAACATGTGTGCATAATTCTATAACACACTAGTGTAAATGCTGCCTGAATGTTCTCCGTCCATTCAGGCACTGCTGTCTCTCCTTTTTAATGCAGAACCTGTGGTGTTGTGTGCCACTCATTATATCTCCTGGTCTAGAATTGCTTTCCTAGCAGGAGTAGAAGTTATCTTGTTTAGAGGTGGTAGAAGTGTTCTACCTCCCACCACCCCCCTCATAAAACGGAGGGATTATTTCGGGGATAGAGAAAATCATTATTTGTAAGCGTTTCTGTATAGCCAGAGGCTATGCCCCAAGTTGGTGTGAGTATATGTAAGGTTACATTCTTGAAATGTATAATTAATGTGTAGGTTTTGGCATATATAAAGTGAACCTATTCCGCTAGGAATTTGCATGCAGCTTAGACACTGTTTAGAATAAGTGAGTTGGTTTGCCTAGAGGTATTTTGTATTAGATGAATCCTTCTCTAACAGTCACTAAATATGGAACCGACTCCTAATGGAGAAGGAACACATTACACATAAAGATATATGACATATTGTTTCTTTATATTACCTAGGTTTATATGTCTACAGTAATTTAAATAAATGTTTAATGGAGGTACTTGACCTGAAAGTGTGCTTTTATAGGTACTTTCTGGGCTCCTTATTTTTTGTCTTTATTTGTGAGTTACTGTCTTGGAGCAGGTTAAACTACACATGTTCCCGGTCATTAATTCATTAAGTATGGAATCCAGAATGAAGATGAAAATATGAACCTCCAAAAGCTGCAACATCATGGCATCTTCTGTATTTCTGTCGTAACCTGTTCCTTTGAGCACAAATGTGGACAGTTCTACCATGAAGTGCATCCCTCATCCCAGATTAACACCTATCACTTCGTCCAGGTTCTAATAGTGGTACTACCTTACATTCACATTCAGAGAGGTACTAGGGGGCCTACTGATCTAGCAATTGCCTGTGCAAATGCAATCACTATGCGGGCACCTCAAGAGAATCCCTTTCTGCTGTGTCTGTGCACATGTACACTCCTGTTTTATAAAAATAAACTTTACAGCCACTGAAAAATATAAACTCAATAACAATAACTATGACTTTTCTCAGGGTCCTGTATTGATTGGAAGTTCTCAAGGTGGAGTTAACATTGAAGATGTTGCTGCTGAAAATCCAGATGCTATTGTGAAAGAGCCTATTGACATAGTAGAAGGCATCCAAAAAGAACAAGCTGTTAGGGTAAGTATGTCCTTGTTTAGAAAGTGTTAGCCTGGGCTTATGTCTATGCATCTCTGTTTTCATGGGATTTTTCTGTTGCTTTGGGCATGTGCATTTACATGCCTTGCTATTTCTTTGAGCCCTTGTAATGTGTGTCGATTGGATGAAAAAATGGACATGATTTTTTTTTTGGCCAACACATGTAAACACCATGTATTTTTTTTGTGACCTGGCACCATTAAAATCAATGGCAGGGATTAATATGCCTTTTGATGTGAATGAGCCCTTTATCCTAATAAATTTTGGCATTGAATGACTGTTTTTAAACACTAACTCCAGCAGAACTGGTCTTTAAAGTAGTTATGAATGCAAGTTTAGATATTAAATGCAAAGTGGTGTAGCGCTAGATACCATATACCATAATACAAATGTGTGACAATGGGTGCTCAAAAACACACAAGGTCAGAGGGACCTGATGAGTGACCTGTAAATAGTGAACCCAATCCCAATGAGGGATATGAATCAAGTGACCCTTAGTACCCACAGCTGGGACTCAAAACTATGAACATGTGAATCCCTGTGGAGGATAAAAACACATAAGGTGCTCATAAACCACATATAAACCATATATACAGCAATAGCGTGGCAACGACCAACAAATGTGAACACAACAGCAGTGCTCCAATCTTCTTGAAAAACGCACACTGTGAACGCACAACACACCGATTGGTGCTCCCCAGAATAAGTGCAATGGCCTCTCACCTCCACTCAGCGACCCCTAGGGGCCATAAAGCCTTGCGGATCCCTCCTGGATCCTTCCTGTATAAGTACTCCTGATGGTCTGATGCCTGGGCTGCAAAGGACCTTTTGATGTACCTTTATCTTCACGAAGAAACCCTTCTGGGTCAATGGATAGGCAGGTAGATGGATTCTTGCAAACAGCTCAATTCAAATGGCCCATACAACAGAAGAACAAATCCTCCATAGTGTAAAACCGCTTTGAGTAATAAAATAGGCTAAAACATAATGCACTCACATTTCAGCAGATATTAGCAGGCATTAACCATGTATATGGGTGTATTCAATTGAAACAAGGTGTTCCAAGATGGCGCCATGCCTGAAGTGTGTCGCGCCGGAATTGCGTCACCACGCTGTGCCGTCGACGCGTTGCGTCACGCTATCGCGTAACTTCGTCGGGAGTCCTGATTACGTGATTTCACACGTAGTAAGCAATGATGTCAGAAGTGACATCTAGCTTACTACTCTGCATGTGATCACTGATTGGCCAATCGGTGATCACATGATCGGGACCTCGCACAGAGGGTTCCGCACGACGATCAGCGTTCCACTGTGTCCTGAGGACACAGCGGGCACCGGATCGCAGTGCTGCGTGCTCCTAGGGAGCGTGCACAAGCAGGGGGCAGGGAGGCTGTTTATAAATGACCACCCGACCCTGCACTGCCACTGTCCGGCCGTTTATATACAACGGCCAGACGGGAGGTGGTTAAAGCAAGGAAATGTAGTAATTTGCTAGTCTCTGGCAAGTTTTGTTTAATAACTACTCACAAATGGATTTGTTGTCTCTTAAATCCTTTTTGCTTTTTTTATCTGTGTATAATTTGCCTTAGGACTCAAGCTTATTACACCATTGAAGAACTCTAGGACAATGATTAAATGCCCTCCAGCTTTTATATTTTAATATTAACAATAAAAATGAAATCTAGCACATGTTAACATTTGTAATTTCTTTACTGCTAAAACTGCTGTTTGGTTGCTCTGGAGATTGGCAATATTTTAATTATTTAAAGTCTGTAAGAATTTGGAAGTGATGATGGCATAATCCCCTAAAGAAAGTGATATAAAATAATTAGTTATGTTTTTATAAGAGAGCTTTTGTGTTTCTCTCCTTGATTGCTTCAAATACATTTGTTTACTTTATACCTTAAACTTTAGTAATGCTTCCAAATCATGTAAATCATCACTGTGCTAAATGAGAATGAAGATAATGAGTATGTTTTTTCATGGGAATTTAGCTGACTAAACAGGCCATTGTTTCTTATTTTAATTTTTTGTTTCTTTTATGTATTTTCAGCTTGCACAGAAAATGGGTTTCCCAGAGAACATTATAGATGAGGCAGCTGCGTGCATGATCAACTTGTATAATCTGTTCATGAAGTATGATGCTACAATGGTGGAAATTAACCCCATGGTAGAAGATTCTTCAGGAGTAGGTAAGCCATGCAGGCCTTTTGGAACACTTCAGCTGAGCTTTGAACACAGGTTATCTTTAAAATGTATGGCAAGAGTGAAAAAATATGCAGTATATCTCTGCAATACATAAACTTTTTCCCATGTTTTGTTTCTTTTTAAAATAGCTGCAAGCACAGAGAATTACCCTTTGATACCAGAAATCAACTATTCTCTAAACTATGGGTGCTCAACTTGTGGCCCTCCAGCTGTTGCGGAACTACAAGTCCCATCATACCTCCGCCTTTGGGAGTCATGCTTGTAACTGTCAGCCTTGCAATGGGATTTGTAGTTCCGCAACACCTGGAGGGCCACAGGTTGCGCCCATGCTCTAAACTTTTATTCTTTTTTTTTTTTTTTTTTTTTTTTTGAAAACATGGCATTTCAGTGCAGCAGAGGGGTTTACTCAACCAGGAATATAGAGGTTTTGTGGATTTCTGGCCAGATCAACGGGTGTTTTTAAATAATTGCAGAAGACACATCATGGGAAAATGTGCATACATTGCAGAACTATGCTGACCTCTTTTTTTCCCCCTGCATTCAGGTTAAAAACATCCCACTGTTTTTTTTTTGTTTTTTTTTTTTTTTTCTGCCTCCTGCTGCTGCCACCACCATAGGCTCTTTGCTACTGTCAGTCAAATCCTGTGAGGAAAGAGCAGAGAGCATATCTCTGCAGTGTGTGTGTATATATATGAATGTGCATAGCCCAGCTCAGGAGCATGGCCACACGAGTACCCCCATAGCACTCGTCTTGCCATGGGGGCACCCACAAGAAGGATGAGCGTATGGCGCCAGTGGGGGACGTCAGAACAGCGTAAGAAGAGAATAAGAGATAAGGATCTGCTCTGTGCAATATGATTGCACAGAGCAGGTAGGTATTTTTTGTTTTTTATTTTAAAGCAAAAAAAAAATTGACTTTAAATGAAGAATTGCAATGACTGTTTGCTTTAAGCAAGAATGTTCCCTATGCAACATAGTTTCATAAATTTATTGCAAATGCTAGTACTTGCTGTTAGGAACAACTTGCTTCTGTGGAGTTTCTCACAATACAGAAAAGAGTATTGTGGTGAAAAACATTTGAATGATGTTTCACAAAAGCCTAAACTTTGCGGTATGTCATGGTAGCTTAAAGGGCCTGATGCTTGCCAAACCACGGTTTGACTACACCAACTGTGTGAATCGGAGCATTATTATCTTGGTAAATAAGCTTGACGTACGCTCGGGATGGTGTTTGCCACATGTAAACATGTCTGATGGTTGGGAACATTGTGAAGCTCTATTCATGGGACCATATTACAGTCTCCTATTAATTGATAGTCCACGATTTATGGGTGTTGCACCACTCTCTCCTCTTCTGAGCATTAATATCAATCATTAGTAGTTTGGCAATTGCAGCTTGCCGTGAATGATTTGCTTATTGAGTTCCCTCCGGACAATTTATGTGGACTTGGGCTTTGGAAGACGACGGTTTCCCAGAAACTGTATATGCCGTCATAACCTTTTGATACTGTAGCTCGTGACACCGCAAATAAATTGGCAACCTCCGTCACAGAGGCACCAGCTAAGCACGCACCAACAATTTATCCTTTTTGAAACTCTGTAAGCTCTGACATGACTCCGTATTACCAGCTGTGCACGCAGTGAATAATTAAAGGGAGGCTTCTCACCTGTTAGCTAGGTGTCTCATCACACAGTGGAAGCAAAAGAATGTTACATCACTTTCGCTTTCAATGCGATACATGTCGTCACTTTCATACCTGCAAATCATGTAGTATTTCCATATTTTTGTGCACCACCTGGATGTCTAACCCCTTCCCACTGCGTGTACGTATATATGCGACACCACTGGACTGGGCTTTTCTCAGTCGAGCCAAATATATGCGTATCTATCTTTGCACGGCACACTTTCAGCACAGAGAATGGGGTCCCACTGGCAGCTCTGGGTCCCGTACAAACTATCGGGACCCAGACCCCTAGTTCAGAGTCACCTGATCACTGTGATAGCCTCTGAATCGAGGAGAGAGATGCATTGCAGAGTGTAAAAAAAAAAAAAAAAATAATTAAAAAAAGGTGCCAGGGTCAAGGGTTTAGAGCAGGGGTCTCCAAACTTTCTAGACAAAGAGCAAATTTACTGTCCTTCAGACTTTAGGAGGGCCAGACTATGACCTTTGAGAGTAGAAACGGTCCCAATGTCAGTGGAGCAAAAACAATGGCTATCTTTTGGTGTCAGTGAGAGGAATTGTGCCCCATAGCAGTGTCATTAGGCCCCATTGCTGGTGTCATTGGGCAAAATTGTGTCCTATCGTTGGCATCATTGGGAGCAATTGTGCCCCATAATTGGTGTCATATGTAGGAATAGCGTCCCATCATTTGTGTCAGTAGGGGGAATTATGCCCCGTCATTGGTGTCAGTGGGCCCATTGTCGGTGTCATTGGAAGAAATTGTGCCTCATCATTGGGGTCATTGGGAGGAATTGTGCCCCATCATTGGTGTCAGTGGGGGGGAAGTATGCCCCCTTTGGTATCAGTGGACGAAATAATGCTCCAAGGGCCAGATAAAAGCACGCAAAGGGAAACATCTGGCCCTCGGGCCGAAGTTTGGAGACAACTGGTTTAGAGTTAAGTAAGGGTAAAGGTCAGGGTTAGTTTTTTTTTTTTTTTTTTTTTTTTGGGCATGATTTTAAAAAAATTATTTCTTTAAATTTGTATCCGTGTCAGTGTTTTTAGGTAGGATAAAAAAACAAAATGCGCACTATTGTTTCTGGGCTGTACTACAGGTACATAAAATTAACATACACAGATGTAGTATTGCTGCAATCGTCAGGAGCAGGAGAATTTATTTTTGGTTGTTCTTTGGTGGTAGCTGTATATTTCTTGCTACTACCATGACCTAAGTTTAAAAAAAAAAAAAAAAAAAAATTTTTTTCACTATTTTTCCTACTAGTTTTCCTTTGATAATAAAAAAATCAGGCAATATCCATTATCATTTACCACCAAATGAAAGCCCAATTTGTCCTGAAATAAACAAGGTATAATCAACCTGGATACACAAAGTAGTTGTGATGATATGTATGGTTTTACTAACACGTCAAAGTTACAAAGTTGTGCTTAGGTGTTAACATTTGTTTTACCCTTTAGGCGGGAGGGGTTAACTGGATGGTAATGGTTTAAATATCCAAGTGCCTTCTTATACTGTATCACTTGGGAAGTCGAACAAATAGCTTTCACAGCTATGACTTCCACCTCCGCCATTGCCTTTAACAAATTGCATCACTTAGGCTGGAATTAAAGTGGAGTTCCAGTGAAAATAAAAGTCAGCAGCTACAAAAACTATAGCTGCTGACTTTTTAAAAGATGGACACTTACCTGTCCCTCAATCCCGCGGTGTCGTTCCCGCAACCAGTTTTCACCAGCCGCCCTGTGTTCCCAGCGCCAGCATCTTCAGTGTGGGCACCCGGCTGTGACAGCTTGTGGCTTCAAAGCCTGGTGCTCACTGCGCATGCACAAGTAGCGTTGCACTTTGTGAATGGTCCCGTAGTCTTCTAGGACCTGTTACGTGTCCCAGAAGACTATGGAAGGGGAGGGAGGGGGAAGACAACTTCTGCTTCTGATTGTCTAGGGGATCGCAGCTGAAATGGGAGTGGGTACCTGTCAATTTTGGGTACCCGCTCCCCAAAGGTGCATATCCTAAGTGGGAGCTGGGGACCAATCCTTAAAGCGGAACTTCCTCTTTTGGGTGGAGCTCCGCTTTAAGTAGCGCAGGCCATTCTTGCTGTATTCTCTGTAATGTGAAAACAAATTAAGAAATGTAAAGCCTCCTCTATAATGCTTGTAGTAAATAACTGGGTCTGTGAACCTGCAGAGATCTCACCATCAGGCACTGAAAGCTCATTTTGAGTGAAATGATGCTTTAAGATTGTTTCCCCATGAAGGTATTAAAGTCTGTCATTCAGAGCTTTTTTTTTTTTCCGCCACCTCTGGTAATGACCCTCTTACCACTATTAATGTCACTTGTGAACACAGTAGCCCAGCCTCTGTGCTACAAGTGACAGCGTGCTTCTCCCAGCAGGTCCCACAGAATGAAGTCAGCACTCTGTGTATTATGCTTTCCGAAACCCTGCACTCTGTGTATTACACACTCCTGAACCTTGCACTCTGTGCATTATGCACCCCTAAACCCTTCACTCTGTGTATTATGCTTTCTGGAACCTTGCACTCTGTGTATTAGGCACTCCGGAACCCTGCACTCTGTGTATTAGGCACTCCTGAACCCTGCACTCTGTGTATTAGGCACTCCTGAACCCTGCACTCTGTGTATTAGGCACTCCTGAACCCTGCACTCTGTGTATCATGCTTTCCGCAACCTTGCACTCTGTGTATTATGCAGCCTTGAACCCAGCCCTCTGTGTATTATGCAGCCTTGAACCCAGCCCTCTGTGTATTATGCAGCCCTGAACCCAGCCCTCTGTGAATTATGCAGCCTTGAACCCAGCCCTCTGTGTATTATGCAACCCTGAACCCAGCCCTCTGTGTATTATGCAGCCTTGAACCCAGCCCTCTGTGTATTATGCAGCCTTGAACCCAGCCCTCTGTGTATTATGCAGCCTTGAACCCAGCCCTCTGTGTATTATGCAGCCTTGAACCCAGCCCTCTGTGAATTATGCAACCCTGAACCCAGCCCTCTGTGTATTATGCAACCCTGAACCCAGCCCTCTGTGTATTATGCAACCCTGAACCCAGCCCTCTGTGTATTATGCAACCCTGAACCCAGCCCTCTGTGTATTATGCAACCCTGAACCCAGCCCTCTGTGTATTATGCAACCCTGAACCCAGCCCTCTGTGTATTATGCAACCCTGAACCCAGCCCTCTGTGTATTATGCAACCCTGAACCCAGCCCTCTGTGTATTATGCAACCCTGAACCCAGCCCTCTGTGTATTATGCAACCCTGAACCCAGCCCTCTGTGTATTATGCAACCCTGAACC